AGAATAGAATACAAAACAATAAGTTCTGTAAAATGGACCTAAAATCTTCTTATAATTATGGTTTGATTATTCTTAAAACTCTATAGGTTAAGGGATATGATATACGGGATTTCCTTTTACTCCAGCAGGACTGAGGACAAGCTGGGGGTGGTGGGTAGATGAAAGGGATAGATGTAACCAGAACAACATAATATTGATAATTGTGAAAGCCTGGTAGTGACTAAATAGGTGTTACTTTATTTTTAAAATTTGATTCTACAATAAAAGTTAAAACAAAAACAGATAAAACCCTTAATATGCAGTTACAGAGACACCTAAAGCAACCACTGTAATGTGCCCAAAATAGAAAATAAACAAAAAATCATTCCAAAACAAAACGCCAAGAGGTCTATAAGTATTTTTGCTATTTAATTGTATAGTCAAATGAAAAAACAATCCTTTACCAGTAAGTCCACTATTTTCAAGTTGCATGAAAGATGATTATCGCCACCTACTGGACATTGTGATTAACTACTTGTATTTTAAAAATCACTATTGAATAGATTCTCCTATTAGCCAACTTACAAAGGATGCGATAAAATCAAGATTTTAAAAGACTGAGATGGAAAAAAAAAATCAGCACTATATTTAAGAGCCAGGACTAGTTTCTAGCTTCCTGGTTTATCACTATGTATAAATAATTTAAATTCTGCGTTCCAACCCTCTGGGAAACTATTTAAAATCTAGGATTTTCTATAAAAGGACATCATTCAATGATCACTAGTGTACTTTCTAACAAAAATATTGATACATCTTTTGCAGGTGGCATTTCATACAGTTAGAAGTGATGTAATATAACATTATTAATTAACATTATGAATGTAAACACACACACATAAATTTAATGGTATTAGCATTAAAAGACCAAAGGCTTGGGATAGGATAGGACAGTGGTTCTCAACCTTCCTGATGCCGCGACCCTTTAATACAGTTCCTCATGTTGTGGTGACCCCCAACCATAAAATTATTTTCATTGCTACTTCCTAACTGTAATTTTGCTACTGCTATGAATCGTAATGTAAATATCTGATATGCAGGATGTATTTTCATTGTTACAAATTGAACATAATTAAAGCATAGTGGTTAATCACAAAAACAATATGTAATTATATATGTGTTTTCCGATGGTCTTAGGGCGACCCCTGTGAAAGGGTCGTTCAACCCCCAAAGGGGTCGCGACCCACAGGTTGAGAACCGCTGTTCCAAGTGATTTGGATGCAGGCTTTAGTTTGAGAATCATTAGCATTTACTATTAAAATGGAAAGTTTTTACTCCTTTTAAATATAAGATATAATTTACTAAGAAAATAGTAATATTTTTTAAACAGTTATCTAGTACAATCCTATTGGTTTTCCAGAAGCATCTATAATAATAAAAGCGTAATATGCTAATTAGACCTGACAGCTGAACAACCTTCCGGACGACTTTCCAGACAAAGCCTGGGCTGCAAGGGCCAAGACCCTTGCACGAATTTCGTGTATCGGGCCTCTAGTATTGTTATAAACACTCAACATTAGTTCTAGTTAACCAGTAGGGAAATTGCTCTAATGGAAGGGTAGGGAATTATTTACTCATAGGCCAGTTAATAAGACCCTGAATGTTCTTGCCCAGAGAAAGTTTTCCAACCATATTCCCTTGTTCTGGTTTGTTCTGATCAAAAGGTTCCTTTTTAACACATAAGACCTTTACCTTTAGCCATTTCATATCTTTTAAGCCAGGAATGTCACTTCTAGAAATAGAGAAAATAAATTTTGCCCAAAGAATTTCTCTAAAGCATTAAAAATAAGAGGGGGAACCAAGCAAATTAAATGCCCCCAAATTGGGAAATTACTCCATAAATTAAAGCATCAACAGGATGGAATATTTTTTAACCATTAAAAGGATGCTTTTCATATGAAATTTTACATAATATGGGGAATTGGTTGATAACATGTGTGTGAATGTTCTGTCAGCTGAAAAAGACAATGGAAAGCATCAAAATTTTAATACTCTGGCCGGCGTGGCTCAGTAGTTGAGCATCAACATATGAACCCAAAGGTCATGGCTGGATTCCCAGTCAGAGCACATGCCTGGGTTACTGGCTTGATCCCCAGTAGGGGACATGCAGGAGGCAACCTATCAATGATTCTCTCTCATCATTGATGTTTCCCTTTCTCTATCCCTCTCCCTTCCTTTCTGAAATCAATAAAAATGTACTAAAAATATATTAATGCTGGTTACCTATGAGTGGTAGGACTATGTGATTTTGAAAATTAGTGTTTCTAAAATTGTCAAGATTTTCTTGTGATTAACAGAGTAAATACAATAGAGCTCCTACTCTGTGAACCTGAATCTTCAAATAATGATTAATTAGTAAGCTTTCAAAAGATAGTAATTGTGGGAAATCTTTTCTCTCCATCCTGCATTATTCTTGTCTCACTCATCCCACTCCTTCCACCCCTTTTATTTCTACTCTCTTCCCATCAGCCATCATAACCCCATAATCAGAGATACTAAGAAACTGAAGTGTAATTATTCAATATTTTTAAATTTTAAGTGTTCAGTTAGTTTAATTTACCTTAAAATATACAAACAGGAAGTAAAATAGCCTAATGGTTAAAAGAACGTGCTGCAAAATCAGACAGACCTAGTTTAGAATATTAGCTTGCCACTTTTTGAACCTTCTACAAGTTTAAATTTCTTATCTATAAAATGAGAGCAACACTCTCCTCCCTGGCCTGCTGTGAGGATGAAATAAGAGGACGCAGGGAAAGCATAAGATGGAAGGTGACTGCCATTACTGTTTTATAGTTAATGTAGTTAGCTGTTTTTTTTTTTGTAAACAGCCTTTAAATTTTAATTTCTTTGTAGGAAAAAAAGCTTACTGGGATTCAGTGGTTGCAGTTATTTGGACTTCTCAAAACACTATAATTTCAAAAACAACTTGGGAGACTTACATGGAGCTGTCAAAATATTCATCATAAACTGGCTGTTACTAAAACCCACCAACAAATTTATCAGCACTGTTAGTTCATAAAGGGCATTTGAATATCCCTAAAAAAGTGAAAGACAGCCTCAGAATATGGAAAATCATTCCCAAGAAAAGACAGTTGGCAACTGCATGACAAAATTATCTACCTTTATTTTTTTTTATTTTTATTCCTGTGTTGTCACCTACCAGTAAACACTTTAGGACCAATACTAGTTTGCAAACTGTCACTTGATGAAAGACATATAACTTCTTAGCCTGATTCTGCATCCATAAAGGAAGTTGTTCTGTCTACCTCCTGGGATTCAACAAACACCAAGCAAAGTGATCACATCCTATTAAGCAGAGGAATTCAGAATCAAATGAAGTATATGAAAACATTATACACAGTGCTTGTATATCGCAAAGCATCATTAAAATAAACAGTATTGTTATTATAAAAATATAAATATTATACATTGATTCCTAAGAGGAAAAGATTTTACACCTACATTTAAATGGCTTAGTCACTTTCTATATTCATGGTGTATCAAATAACATTCAGAATTTTTTAGTATGAATGTTTTCCAACATTTTCCATATTTTTTCTTTAGAAAATAGTCATGTTTGTGATGTAGTTCACTACGCCGCCATTCTCTCTCTTATGGGAATAAGGATGTTTCTTTTCCCTCAGATGGTACAGTTCTCAAGGGAAAGTTATTAAGCTAAAAATTGCTGCTATAATAACAGTAATTCAGCATGTAAAAGCTGAATTCTAAGAAGATTTAAAGGGATCTAAAAACAGGCTCAGACACAGAGAAAATTTTATTTTCTTATTTTTGAAAGTGTTGTAAGATTTTTTCCAGTGTTAAAATCCACTTCCAAGTATGATGATCAAAAAGTAAGACAGTCCAGTCCAGCCAGTGTCGCTCAGTGGTTGAGCAGCCACCTATGAAGTACGAAGCAGGAGGTCATGGTTCAATTCCCAGTCAGGGCACACGTCCAGGTTTCTGGTTATATCCCCAATAGGGGGCATGCAGGAGGTGGCACATCAATGATTCTCTCATCATTGATGTTTCTCTCTCTCTCTCTCTCTCTCTCTCTCTCTCTCTCTCTCTCCCTCCCTCCCTCTCTGAAATTAATACTAGTAAATAAAAATAAAAAAAGAGCCCTAGGTAGTCTGGCTCAGTGGATAGAGCATCAGCCCACAGACTGAAGGGTCACGGGTTCGATTCCAGCCAAGGGCACGTACCTGGGTTGCAGGGTCGATCCCCGGTCCTGGTTAGGGCCTGTGCTGGAGGCAACCAATTGATGGGTCTCTCTCACATCTATGTTTCTCTCTCTCTGTCTCTCCCCCTCCTTTCCATTCTCTCTAAAAATCAATGGAAAAATATCCTCAGGTGAAGATTAACAAAATAAACAAATACATATATCCTATATCAAAAAAGGCTAATATGCAAATAGACCGAACAGCGGAATGACCGGAACAACTGAAACAACCGAACAACCGGTCGCTATGATGTGCGCTGACCACCAGGGGCATGTGCGGAACATGGCGGGTGTCGGGTGCAGTGGGATGGTGGAAGGAGGTGAGAGGGGGTGCAAGACCAAGGTGGGGCACCGGTTTGCTGTCATCAGAGCGAGCCTCTGGTGGTTACTTGAAAATTTCTTTGCTCACGCGCAACTGCTGGCGCTGGGCCCCACTTCGCACCCGCTGCTAGCGCCAGAGCCACTGCTTCGCACCCCACTGGCGAGTGCCCCAGCACCAGGTCC